AGAACTATGTCTGGAAAGTGCTGTCGGTAAAGATGAAGGGAATCTGCCTTCTCCAAGCACGCCCGAGGCTGACAGCCCCTCAGGAGCCCCTGCGGCGCCCGGGCTGGACTCCAGTGATGATAACAACAACCCCAACACTGCAGATCTGGGAACAGCAGACGACTTTGTGGATGCTGGCGTGTCCTGCCTCGGCACAGATAGCATTGACTTCTTTAGTGCCAGAGAGAAATTCCTCTGCTTGTCCCAGGATAGTCAGCCCGCTCGCTCGTTTTCTGAAACAACCGCTGTCTGGTCACCTCAATTCAGATGCACCCCACCCTTGGATGATTCCAGTGAGGAAGCTGATGAGGTAAGAGTTGGCCATCACTTCAGAGATCATTGCACTTCCTGATTTGTCATGCTGAAAGATAAATGATAAAACAAATGGGAATGACTCATTTATTAATAACAGTAAATGATACAGGAAGTATGGGCAAGCGACACCAGTACAACACTGCCTTCTGCTGGTCTAATCTAGAATTGCATTTAAAGGGACAGTTCACCCAAAAATGAAATGTAATTTACTTGCCCTCATGACAAAAAGACCGACTTCTGTGGAACACACAAAGACAAAATTTGGGCTTTCAATAAAAAAAACAACAACCTTTATTTCAGTTATCTGAAACTTTGTGTGAGGATTGAATCAAATTTTGAGATGGTATGGTGAAATGCATGCCAAAAAATGTCAATTCTACTGTAGAGTCAGAAGACTAGGGAATATAAAGCAGATCTTTTGGAATTTCTGATCATTTTTTCTGAAAGCTGAAGTATTTTGAAAAAAAAGGGGGCTCTGGACATTTCTTGTTTGTGTGCCATGGAAGACTAAGTTGAATTTGAGACAAAGCAAGGGTACTTAAATGATGACATGATGAATGAACAGTATTTTCATTTTAAGGTGAACTACTCTTTTAATGTGGTAACATTTACGTTAATGTGGTAAGCTCTCTTTGTTGAGAGTGAAATGGAACAATGCAATTACCTCTTGTAATCCAAATTTTTGCATTTCTCCTTCCTAGTGCCACGCCCACTCAGTGACCAATAGCGATGCCGTGCCCCACCTCCCTCACAATGACAACAGCGTGTGTGTGCGTCATATAGTTACTGAACTGGAATCCATATCACACACCTGCAGTCCGCCACTGGCACGCAACTCGCCTCAAACGGCTACACTGCAGGAGGTGGATGAGGAATCGGCTTCGGTTCCTCATTCTCCCCCCGACAGGCCCTCAGGATCCGTGCGCCGGGCCACCGAGCATTTGGAGCTTATACTACGTCAGGGTCAAGAGGTTCCTTCCTCTCGGTCTCCTCTTCCTTCCCCATGTTTGGACTGTTCAGAGCCACACTCCAGTAAGCCAGAGGGCACTGCAGCTCTGACCTGCACTGAGCCCCAGAAGGCTCCAGATGGTAAACTAGATGGCACCAAAGTGCTTGATGATGAGGATTCTGGTATAATCCCTGATCCTTCCTTCTCGGTGTATCTTGAAGGGAGCGTTTCAGTGGAGGCTGACCAGATCACTTTGAACCCCACTCTTGAGCCCAGCTCTGGTTCTTCCTCTCTGTTGTGGCTAGAAGGTGTGACCGAGTTGGAGACAGATGTGGACGACCCGTTGAAGCCCCATGTCCGACTGGCACGTAGCAGTGAGGACTTGCAGAAGATCCAGGAGACTCTTCGAGAGCTCCAGGCCTTTTTATATGAGGCTGGAGGACTGGGGTTGTGCACTGGACAAGTTGAGGAGGACCAGTCACCTGAGGACAAGCAGGACTTGATAGATGGGGAGCAGCGATTGGAGCCCAAAGCACCTGCGATGTGGCAGAGAGCCATGGAAATCGAGGCCCGTATCAGACAGGCTGGACTCACACCTCCTTCGCTCATGAAACGCTCTGCCTCACTCGCTAAACTGGACAGGCTAGAGCTATCTACTAATGACTTGAGCGACTGGGACTTCCACCCGGCCACCACAGGGTTTCATCAACCCTCCTCTTCCTCTTTATCCACCTTTGACTCCTTGCCACTGACCCACAGCCACGATGACGCCCATAAAAAGCAGCGCGTTCTACCTCAGAGCCCTTCCGCCCCTGAATCTGCCGTTCAGGTGGGCAGGACTGAAGGCTCCGCCCACCTCTCACCCTCATGCCCACAGCAGACTCAAGTGGGTGGAGCCAGTCCCCCTGAACACACCCCTGTCCAGCCCACCGTTTCGGTATCCACGCGACAACAACATGTGAAGACTCAACCCGTTCGTCGTTTCCGCAAAGCGTCGGACAAGAAAAAAACAGTCACTGTTTTGTACAACACCATGTGACCATGAACTTTCACACGCTGGTTTTAACAGGTGTGAAGGACTATCTCAGACTGCAACCAATTCAAGTTTCATTCAGTGAAGTCTAAGCTAAATTTGTTGCTAAATGCATTTTTGTATGCTAAAATGTATGCTACTGTAGGTGAGAATGAGGGCATGTGTGAGCGAGTGAGTCTACATCAGTTTTGTGTTCAGAATCTTTCAGGTAGCAACTCAAACAAGGGGGTTGTTTCTTAAAACATGCACTTTACTCTTGTTTTTCTTTTTTTATTGTTTTTTTTTTTAGATAGCATTTTTATTTGAAGATTTTTTGCACTGTGTTGAGCGGTAGAATTGACTGTCTGAAAGCATGATTCTGTTTGAAACCAAGGTAAACTTGATAAACCTTTTTTTAATCCTGTGCTTTAGCTGTGACTGTTATAAAATAAAACTGCACTATTTTAATTATTTACCAGTGGCTATTATGTTTGAATATTCTCATCATAGTACCTGCGCCGACTGACTCTGATTAATATTATTCACTGGGGTTGACTCATCACATAGCCAAAGCTTCCTCTATACTGCTGATTCATACTGGAAATGGCACAGTGATGCTTAAAACACTCCCCCGATAGTCCCAAAATAATCATGGGAATGAAGGTGTTTGAAGCATTTTGCTGACAAAAAGCTATTTCAAATTGTTTGAACCTCCTGGTGGAAAATTTCACCTGTAATTTTTAAAAGCGACTACATATTTAGCAGGCCTAGGTGATGAACACAACACAAATTATTATGTAGTTATCTGTCATTTAGCAGTCTTTTGTTTTTAGTGATGCATGCTAATCACTGATAACTAAACTATTAAACATGAAATAAAAATAAAGCTAAATGAAATTAATGAAAATGAAAATAAAAGCTTGTGTGTCTGTATATATTACAAACAGAACTATAGCTGTACCATGATAATGCCATGGTGGTTCAAGGTATTTAAAAAAAAAAAAACATGCTATATGCAAAGTTAATGACGCTCATTCACAACGCTTGAAAATTCATGTTAATTTAGATACCCTTTATTCTGAATGCCTTTAAGTTACAAATGTGAACAATATATTTCAGTCACATACAAACACAACAGCAGCACTCCACACAAACCACAGCATCAACCAAAGTCAAATTAAAAAAAGGTTAAATATAAATAATGCTCTTATAATGTTTTACTAAAACGTGGAGTCATATCAAGCATTTCTTAATGACTGAACCCAGCATTCACGAGTCGCACAATCATAAGATCAAACCTACGTGTTTATTAGGAGCTCTGTCTCCAGACACCTTCATCAGATCCGTTTCCTTTGAAAATAACTAAGTAACGTGATTAGTTACTTTTTTAGGGAGTAACGCAATATTGTAATGCATTACTTTTAAAAGTAACTTTCCCCAACACTGGTTAGGGTGTGGTTGAACCTTCAAGCTCCACTGATTATGTCCAGGGAGGTGGAGCTGGATGCTAAGCTAGACTCATTGGCTCTGCAGGGAGCACCTTCTCTAATAGTGTGAACACCAAAAGCAAAGCTAATATTTGCATCGCGTTACTTGCTCTAGATTATTTGCGGGATGTTTTCGCATCACTTGGGTAAAAAAAAAACAATAGAAGCCGTTGCGCTATGGGCGTCCCAAATTTGAATCCCAACTCATGGACCTTTCCCGATCCCACCCCCAAATCTTTCTCCTATTTCGCTTCCTGGCATTACTACTGTCCTATCAGAATAAAGGCAAAAACGGCAAAAATAAATCTTATAAACATAAATAAATAAATAAAGATAATTTTGTTACAACCGGACGTATCAACAAGCTCTTCTCTGATTGGATTACACGACAATGCATCATGCGAATTTTCCTCTCGAGTTAAAATTTTTAAACTTGCGCGTGATTAAGGCGAATAATGCGTGTTCAAAGCAAGCGTATTGCCCAATTCGCATCATTTGCGTCGGCCGGCACAAATTCGTGTCTATTCATGTCTTTGCATTGACCTTGAATGTAATTTACTTGTAGATTATGTAGATTAGCTTTTGGTCTGCACACAACATTAAACTTCCATGACAAGCAGTTGTCGAAAATGGAAAATTGAGCACCACTGGTCCCCTGTACCGTATTTTTCCATAATTGCCACCTACTTTCAGAGAGAAAATAGGCATTTTCATTTAACCCATCTTTTTTCATATTGGTCGGAACAGACAAATTGTGACCCTGCACCACAAAACCAGTCTTAAGTCGCTGGGGTATATTTGTAGCAATAGCCAAAAATACATTGTATGGGTCAAAATTATTGATTTTTCTTTTATGCCAAAAATCATTAGGATATTAAGTAAAGATCATGTTCCATGAAGATATTTTGTAAATTTCCTACCGTAAATATCAAAACTTACATTTTGATTAGTAATATGCATTGCTAAGGACTTCATTTGGACAACTTTAAAGCAGATTTTCTCAATATTTTGATTTTTTTGCACCCTCAGATTCCAGATATTCAAATAGTTGTATCTCGACCAAATATTGTCCTATCCTAACAAACCATACATCAATGGAAAGCTTTTTATTCAGCTTTCAGATGATGTATAAATCTCAATTTTGAAAAATTGACACTTAAGACTTCTCAAGAATTTTCATGCCAAACATTCATGCTAGTGCGAACAGGTCTTTGAAATCAAATAGGAAAACATTTTCTTAAAACCCTCCTGTATGAGATCCTCAAAGTTTAGTGATTAATGAAATGGCATTAACCAAAAGTTGTTATTAAGCAACTTTGGTTGCATAATGGAAGTGTCAGTTTCACAAATCTTTACGTTTTTCTTCTACGTTTTTGTGAATGCAGCATTCCCATCAAGATCGATGGAGCTGTGATCGATAAACTCTTGTGTGAGTTTAATGCCCTCACACATTCTGTTAGGAGACGTCATGGCTCCTCAATCCAAGTGCAGTGAATCTGATGTGTATTAGCAACCAAAATGAAAGTTCGTCTATAATTCAAAACTAAAAAAGTGACAAGATTCCCCCAGAACTCACACCTGCGGGTGAGTATGCAAGAACTCTGGGCGAGTGCTCGGATGATGGCTTTTAGAAACGACGCCAAGGTACGCAGTGTGGATTGTCTCAGTCATAAATGCACATTCACACATTAAGAGACCAGACCGGTGCTGATCAGTCAGTGGATTGTCATGAGTTTAGTAGTTTGTGTTTGTAAACTTGCAGTGAAGACAGAGGTTTCTCTGTGATTCTGAACGACTCATTTGAGACTGGACCAGAGATCGGCCCATTTTATCCAGTTCTTTGGAAGAAGAGGGTGGGGCCTTTGGGAACGGCCAACGTAGTTGGTTCCAGATCCCTAGACATGCTCTCCCACCCCTCAGTTCCCACTAACCCCGTCACTTCTCCATGAGTGACAGCTGAATGATACGCTGCAGTTCCTCTTCCTCTTGTCTTTGACGTAGCTCTGCCTCTTCCTGTTCACGGGCGGACAGTGCCATGGCTAGACGTAGCTGCTCATCGTAGCTGTGCAGTGGCTTATTGGTCGGTGTGCTGCGAGGGCTCTCCACAGGGCTGGGTTTGTGCTGTGGGGTTCTGGGTAATGGAGAAGAAAAGCAGTGACTGAGACTTCTACTAACAGAACATTGTCTTTTTGACAACAATAAAATCAGCAATTTAAAGGAACACTCCACTATTTTTGAAAATAGTCTCATTTTCCAACTCCCCTAGAGTTAAACAGTTGAGTTTTACCGTTTTCGAATCCATTCAGCCGATCTCCGGGTCTGGCGGTAGCACTTTTAGCTGTAGCTTAGCATAGATCATTGAATCTGATTAGACCGTTAGCATCTCGTTCAAAAATGACCAAAGAGTTTCTATATTTTTCCTATTTAAAACTTGACTCTTCTGTAGTTACATCGTGTTCTAAGACCGACGGAAAATTAAAAGTTGCGATTTTCTAGTCCTTGATTATTACGCCGGAATGAGAGTATAGTTCCTAGTCATATTTTCTATTTTCCGTCGGTCTTAGAACACGATGTAACTACAGAAGAATGTATCTATGCTAATCTATGTAGCTTAGCATAGATACATTCAATGATCTATGCTAAGCTACAGCTAAAAGTGCTACCGCCAGACCCGGAGATCGGCTGAATGGATTCGAAAACGGTAAAACTCAACTGTTTAACTCTAGGGGAGTTGGAAAATGAGCCTATTTTCAAAAATAGTGGAGTGTTCCTTTAAGTATGGATTTATTACAATTTAAAATATCTGGTTTTCATTTTAATTTATTTTAAAATGTAATTTATTTCTGTGATGCCAAAGCTACCTTTCAGCATCATTACTCCAGTCTTCAGTGTCACATGATCCTTCAGAAATCATTCTAATGTGCTGAATTTATGCTCAAGAAACATTTCTTATAATTATCAATTGTTCTGCTTAATATTTTTGTGAAAACCTTTGCGGTTTCTTTGATGTATATGAAGTTCAAAGGAACAGGATTTATTTAAAATATAATTTTTTTTATCATTATTAATGTCTTATTATCTGTGCGGTTGTCCTGTCCTAAAACTGAAACCTTAAAGAATAATGACATGAATAATGACTGTTTTGGATTCATCTCGGCTGCCACAGACAGCGCATCTCTGCCTGCTTTAAAACTCCATGAAGAGCAAACGAAGGTGAGGAGTGAGAGATGAAAACCCTAGTGAATTTCTATGAGCTTCACTGAGGCTGTGTATTGACCGTCAAGCCTGTGTCAATAGCTCCAGTAAATGTGATGAGAGTGTGACACTGTCCTTGCCTATTGTGGGTGAGATGTGACTACAGGAGACAGTAGAAGCGGAATACTGACTGCAGACCTTTCGTGCCGGCTGGGGTCACAGGACAGAGAGTGTGTTCCTGGCTTACTGTTGGTCAAAGCCTCCCAGATCGTCACCTGTGAGGGAAGCAGAGAGATCAGGTATGTGTAAAAAAAGTCTCACACCATGTTTCATGCACCAGATGAGACATGTTAAACCGACAAATGATATTAATTGTATTTCTTTCATGTTAATCTGGGTTTTTGTCCTAACCAGGAGCTGCAGGGCTGTCATAACACGAAATATGGCTGCTGTAGGGTACTGCAGGGATGATGTATTATTGTAGGAATAAACTCGGAAACAACCATTTAAGCACTTAAGCTCCCACTGTCCTGAAGTCAATAAGTGTTTTGGTTAAATGCTTGAAATACGGTCTGTGGTTAACACAAACTCAAACGTTTTATTCTTAAACAAAAAATAAAGTGATACCACATTCATGATTTCTTTAAAGATTTTTCTTGTCTTGAAAAGGTGGATGCTAACAAGCAGCTAAATGGGACTACAGTGTTTGTTGGGATGGAACAGGCAAACTCATCTACTCACTAGCCCACTTTCACAGTCTTGTTGTGTTTATAATTGTGCAAAAGACTGAAAGAGTTGAAGGAATCTTAAATGGTGGCAACATTGTAGTTCGTTTATAACCTACGTTTAGCTTTTAGCTTCTGGTGATTGTAATTAGTCTTCAAAATTCAAAAACTGATGAACAAAAAGTGTAAGAAACAAACTTGTATTGGACACAGGGCTTCCTTTCTGCAATTATTCATAATTCAAAAGCTACTTGAGGTAAAGAAGCTGCATTAAATAATGTTCTGTTAATTAATTTGCCTTATAGTGACTTTGAATACCCAACAAAATCTGGCTCCACATAGCTTCATTCATCAAAACACATTCATTCATCATTTTTGGATTCAGTAAGGACAGAAAGATTTTTTGATGCCATGTGGTTTCAAGTCACAAATCAAATATGTGCATCTGTTAACATGCAAGTGTGTGACTGCATCTCAGACCTGGTCATATTCTGATCCAGCCTCTATCAGGCTCTGCTGGATGGCATACTGTAGCAGATCATCTTCCTCTTCTCTAATGTTCCCCCTCTGGTTTCCTCCTAAAATGCTGTAGCCTCGGGGAGCCTCAAACACACAAGGTGGGATCTCTCCTCCGCGACACGAGTCTGATTTATACACAAACACACATTCATGAATCCCAGTGCAGATTACTGTAGTCAAATGTATTGATCAACAGATCTGAGTTACATCTGTACTACAGGCAGCGCTATAAGGAATGCGATCATTAAACATTTATCCGATCAATTCCTCTCTGGCCATTAAAAATGGCAAGTGCTTTGTCTGAACACTGTATTACTTTGTAACACCATAATTTTTCAATCTGATCATCATCTTAAATGGTTTCTAACAATTACACTTCCCTGCAGGTTAAAGGCAGGTTGATTCTTACTTGTGGAGCTGGAGCTGGACACGCTGGAAGAGTCGCTGCCTGGAGATGGAGTCTCTGTACTGGGGCTGTCCTTCTGTCCGTCCCCTTCTGCATCCACTCGGGGCAAACCACCCTCTTCACAACCATTTAGGTTCCCAAAGGTGATGCGAGCATTCAGGATGTGGTAGATGGGAATTTCTGTGGTGAGATGTTATTTTTGCATTAGCCCAATTTTTCTCAAAATTACTCACCCTCAGGCCATCCAAGATGTAGATGGGTTTGTTTCTTCATCAGAACAGGTTTGGAGAAATATAGTATTACTTGCTCACCAATGGATTCTCTGCAGAATGGGTGCCGTCAGAATGAGAGTCCAAACAGCTGATAATAACATCCCAGTAATCCATTAGCAATCCACACACTCCAGTCCATCAATTAATGTCTTGTGATGCGAAAAGCTATGTGTTTATAAGAAACAAATCCATCATTAAGGCACTTTAACGTTGCTTCTGGCCAAAATACTAGTCCATAATCCATAATAACGCTTCCAGTGGAAAAAGTCCATCTCACATCCTTTCACATCAAAATCCACCCACATATTTGTTTAGAACTGTTTTTGCTTGTAAACAGTGCTTGAACTGTGCATATTTCTCTCCTGATTTTTCCTGAACTTTTTCAAAGCAATATTATGGATAGAGGATTCATATTTTAGCCAAAAGCAATTGTCTGAAGAAAAAAAAACACTTAAGAATGGATTTGTTCTTACAAACATGTAGCTTTTCATTTCACATATCATTAATTGATGCACTGGAATCATGTGGATTTCTAGTGGTTACTGTAAAGTTTTTATCAGCTGTTTGGACTCTCATTCTGATGGCATCCATTCACTGCAGAGGATCCATTGGTGAGCAAGTGATGTAAAGCTAAATTTCGTCAAATCTGTTCTGATGGAGAAACAAAATCATCTACATCTTGGATGGCCTGAGGGTGATTACATTTTTCATTTTTGGGTGAACTTTTCTTTTAAACGTCTGTGACTGTAACCTAGCCATACTTTGAAGACAAATTTGCTAAAACATGTTAAAAATCTGGCAATTTTATAATTTTTAGACACATAGTTCCTTCTCAGTAGTTTCTTTTCCTCTCTCTCTCTCTTACCTATTTTGATGGGGAAGCCAGGAGGCAAGCGCAAGGTGATGAAGTCCCTAAGCTTGGCGAACAGTGCATTGGAGATGGCCATGAGTTCGATGATAGGAGCCACCTGCTCCGACAGAGATAAAGGGTGTGATTCACACAACCACATCTTGGCTTTGAACCTGGGGAAAAAACATACTGTACAAATAAGACACCTGTGTGACCTCATACAGTCTTAGCAGTTACGTTTCCCATGTCAATTGGTGTCCAGAAAAAAAGCAACGTAATCTCTTATGCCTTTCAAGTGGAGCAGTGTTTTTATGTAGTATTTATTGTATACTATTATATTATAGTATTTATGTATATTTTGACATTGCTTTTATTTTTATATTCTCAGTTTTCATTTTAATTTTTAAGTACATTTGTTATGTGCTTTTGTAATTTTTGTTAGTTTGTGTTATATGTCATATATTCCTGTATATAGATATATTTCTATATAGCTTTTTTTATTTTAATAATTTGAATATTTCATCTTATTTACTAAAGTGATAAACATTTAGTTTTGATACCATGTATAAATAAGGGATGGAAATTATCAATTTTCATCATATTAAATTCAGATATATTTATTTAGGTTTATCATTCACAATATAATGATTATTTTTTGTTTAGGCTACTTCCGTGTTGTTTCCAACTTGAAAGCTTCCCAGGTGCACTTGAAGGCAGCATCAGAAAACTATTTGAAGAGGAACACAACACATCTCATCATTAATGGTTTTATTTGGGTAAGTACCATTATTACTTTTGTATATAGTTGCATGGCTATTTATTTTGATAAGACTCTTTGAGGAGAGACAAGAAGCGAATGGAGAGGGGAGAGTGAAATGGGATCAGGAAAGATCATGATCCAGATTGTGAACTCTTTTTACAATAAGCAACCGCTCAGCACGTGATACAAACTGCATAGCAATATGAAAGAACCATTTTATTTAGAATGTGTCTCAAAATGAAAATGAAAGCAGTGTTAGATTGATACACTACCTTTGTGTTTTGGTGGTGAGGTGACCGGGCTGGCCGATGTCTCTCTGAGTCATGTTGGGATTAAAGTACTCCTCTGCCGTCACGGCGAAAGGGTTCGTTGCAGGGCATGATATCTGAGTCACCATAGTGTGCTATAAAACACACACACACACACACATACACACACACTTTATTTTGAGGCTACAGAAGTGACAAAATACTAGAAAAGCTCTTTAGGTGTCTTGATGATAAATTAAGAAATTTTTGACAGGCTCCGTTCACTCACTCCGTTGTTAGGCCCCATGTGCTGTTCAGCGATACCCAGGAAGGATTGCAGAGGAGTCTTGGCGCCTGAGACACAAGCACAACACACAGCAGGTCACATTACAGAAGACGTGCACAATCCCAAGGATTTGCATTACATCACAGTAACCATAGACAAGACAAAGATGCTGTTTGTTTGGGAATAATTTGAGTGGGCATAGAAATACTGAATCATCATATTCACTACAACATGCCCACCAATACACACGCTCATTGTGTTTTGTAAAAAAAAAAAAAAAACAGAATTTATTTATCTATATTTTTGTCCTTAAATCTGCATTTTTATCCTTATGCTCACCAAGATTTGCATTTATTTGATAAAAAACACAGTAAAAACAGTAATATTATTAGATATCTATTTTCTATTTTAATATATTTTAAAGTTATTTATTTCTGTGATGCAAAGCTGAATTTTCAGCAGCCATTACTCCAGTCTTCAGTGTCAAATGATTCTTCAGAAATCTTTCATATATGCTGATTTGCTGCTGAAGAAACATCTTATTATTATCAATGTTGAAAACAGTTGTGCTAATTAATGTTTGTGGAAACCGTGATGCACTTTTTTTCAGGGTTCTGTGATGAAAAGTTAATTATTTTTTTTTTTTAGAATATTGAAAAGATCAGGATTTATTGGAAATATGAACCTTTTGGCCCATAATACGTCTTTATTGTCACTTATAATCAATTTAATGCATTTCTTCTGAATAAAAGTAGTAATATTTTTTTTTTTAAATCTTATTGACCCCAAATATATCTCAGTGTCAATGTGGGCATGTAAAGATTTTGATCTGAGACACAAACTGGTCAGTCAAACGTACCTTTGGGTTTCGTTTTGTGCTGGTCGGTGAGATGGTCAGTACGTGTTCGTGTGATCAGCTCAACGTTAGAAGCACAGTAAACCTGAAGCAAAGACATGAGAACATGAGTTTAGTTCACTCTGTTTTTATAATTTGTTTGTTAATCTGCCACATTATATTCCTGACAGAAATACAACACTCACTCATCCCACACGAGAAATGCTGTTCAAATTATGGAGAACCTTAAAGCAGTGTTAGAATTTTCTGAGTATTACAGTGAAATGCTCATATTGCATCTAAAACTCCCTCTACATGATTGTAGTGTAGACAGTTTAGCCGGTTGAAATGGGAGCGGTCTAGTTTTGTCATGTCGCCTCTCTTCCAGTATATAACGGGTGTAACCGAAAATTGTTTCACAGCAATTGGTTCCTTTCCAATCAGGTCAACAGATGAAAAAATTGCAACTGTGTAACGCTATGCGCATCAAGGCATAAGTGCATGAATATTAATTGGGTCACAGAGTCGTTGCTTGGTAACCTTCCAGGAGTGTCCTGTCAAGTACCTTAATTAATATTCATGAGCCAAGCCTTCACCCAAAGTCAGATTTGTCAATTTGCCAGCTAATTAACACACACTTTAACAGCCTTCCTATTAGCCAAGGATAACTGTCAAGATAAATAAAGACATTCAGCTTGAAAAAGCTTTATCATCTAAGGTGTTTCATTCTTTTTCTAAATTCTGTAGTGATTCTTGAATTTAATTCTTCCATGCCTGTTCGTTTATATAAAAGTGAAATCAAATTTATTTGTAGAGCGCTTTTCACAATACATATTGTTTCAAAGAAGCTTTATAGAAAATCATGATGTTAATGTTTATAATATCTTAATATCTCAATGCCTTATAGTCACATTTAGCAGATTAGAGCTGGGTGATAATATAGTTTACATTTTGCAATAATGCAAGAAATCAAGCAATTGAGATATGCTGTTACACTTTATTTTGATAGTCCACTTTAGACATTCTACTAACAATAAGTAACTTTGCAACTACATGTCAACTAGGCTAATTCTCATTCATTTGCAACTATATGTCTACTAACTCTCAGAGTAGACTGTTAGGTTAGGTTTAGGGTTAGCAGAATAAGTTGACATATACTTGCAAAGTTTCTCATAGTATGTTGTATGTTGTGGACTCATCAAAATAAAGTGTTAGAAGATATTAAGCAGACAGTCTACTAATACTCTAATGACTACTAGTTGACATGTAGTCAACTAGCGTGAGCCCAGAATTAAGTTCTATTTCACATATTCTTGCTCTTGAACACATAAATACACTTTGCCAATTTGAACATTAAAGCAATTTTAAAGCATTCAAAAGTCTGAAAATGCATCTATTTAGCATTTTTCTTATTTTAATATATCTCATTATAAATTGTATTATCTGCACAACTTTTAGTGACAAGTTTTAAACACAAATTTTCAATATGGTCTCAGACATTTGTATTCTACTGACTGTTATATTGTGACATATGCCGTACCTTTGCTTCGTACCCATTCACCACCTCCGTTTTCTCACTACGCCAGCCAAGAATGCCCGTTTTATTCCTGTAGAGACATTCGGGCATGTTACCAGGTTTCCAGCATGCCGTACAAACAGAGGTGAGTCCAATATCACACATTTTATGATAAAGCTTAGCCCAAAAATGCTGGCTCACACTCTCAGCTTCACAGTAAAGCCACAATAAAGGGTTACGATGCCCTTGCTTTTGAACATTTTAATTGGCGACAATGACTTGCCAATTGTTATTAAAGGGGTCCTATTATGCTTTTTCACTTTTTTAATTTTAGTCAATGTGTAGTGTGTATGTTTGGGCATAAAAAAGATCTACAAAGTTACAACAAATCTCAAAGTCCACTCCAAAGGGAGAAAAAATCCCTTTTCAAGAACTACAACGAACGGCTCATTTGGACTACAGCGTTGGTTTCCGGGCTTTGTGATGTCACAAAGTGACCCATTAGAATATCATTAAAATAATTCCCGCCTACAGAAATTCGAATGGTTGGGGGGTGGGGAGGGGCGAGGTCGTGGTTAGAACGCTTGGTTGAGT